CAAACGCACTTTCCACCAAGGCCGCGCAAATCCGCATGGCACTGCGACATCACGGACGTAATTCGCCACACGGTCTGCCCACACACTGGAAGCAATCCTATCACACGATACCGCCAATCATCCCACTCACCAGCGACACGCCGCGTTTACACCAGTATATTTCGCGCTCCCCAATGGCACGGCGCCACGCAAACGCACTTCCCACCAAGGCCGCGCAAATCCGCATGGCACTGCGACATCACGGACGTAATTTCGCCACACGGTCTGCCCACACATATCTCACTAAAAACAAACACATCGGAGTCCAGCTCCGCAACGCTCTTTCCCGTACTACATTTGTCCTACAAATTGGCCACTTCTGAGTCCAGGTCCAAAAAGCTCTTTCCCGTACTACATTTGGCCAGGTCTAAGTCCAACTCCGAAAAGCTCTTTCCCGTACTAAATTTGTATTGCAAATTGACTTCTAAGTCCAACTCCCAAAAGCTCTTTCCCGTACTACATTTGCGCTACAAACTGACCAGGTCTGAGTCCAGCTCCACAAGTGAAGCGCCAAGTCTCCAAAATGAGCGTTTCGTACAAGACTTCCTCCAAAAGTGAAGCGCCAAGTCTCCAAAACCAGCGTTTCGTACGAGACTTCCTCCAAAAGTGAAGCCCAAAGTCTCCAAAACGAGCGAAACACTCCAGCCGCTCCACCAAAAGCTCTTTTTCCTCTTCGCATTCACTCGAGATCTTTCATTAGATCAAGGAACTTTGCGCAAACCCGTTCTGTTGTTGATATCCACATCTAGCACCCATGCGTATGCCCTATGGACCTACAACAAGAGTTTCTCACCCGTAGAGTCGACACCCAAAGCATTCTGCCGGGTGGGTAGGTGGGTAGGTGGGTAGGCAAACAAAAAGGAGGGTAGCTGCTGGTGGGCTTCAAGCCAAAATGGCCACATTTTAGTTGTGCTACTAGACCATTCACTATTATATATATATATCATATAATCAATAAAAACAATTAATATATTCTTAAAATATTTCATAATTTTCCAAATAAATATCCCAAAATATTACAATTTTAATTCTATCAATTTAACTGCCCAAATATTTATCGATTTAAAACTCTTATATTTTAACTATTACAATAATTAAGCAATTAATAAATATAATCTTTCTAAATATATTTATTCCAAAAATACAATCATTTTTATTAAATAGAAATCAAAAACGAATTCTCTTAAAAATATATATATATATCGAATAAGAATTGACTATTTATTAAAAAATACATTTTAAAAAATAGAATCTCTATGTAATAATACATCATTTTCAAAAAACATTGATATACTTATTTACATAATGTAAAAAGTAAAAATTTCAGTATCTTATACATATATATTTATAATTTGTTGATGTTGTTGGGAATAATATATTTAATACTTTTCAATAGCATTCAGGACGTCTATATTTTAGTATTTTTCAATTTTTGTTGTTAGTTATTATCGAATAATGGATCAATGAGTGAAACGTCGTTAGCTTGCGATCGTATTGAACGCGATTATTGTATCAAATTCAATTGCAATTGTTTGGTAATGCATGCATTTCTGCTGTCCAAAATCTGGCGCTGCAGGTGGCCCACAAATTGCGAGCTCAAAAAACTGACCTGGCAAATGCACAACAAGGAAAAACAAACAATTCATCCTTTTGTTCTGCTGCCCATGCCTTCCTCAAAACAAACATTCCTCAGCAAACGAAAGCAGAATCATGACGGGTGAGCTGCGCGCGCTGTAATTTCCTGACCTGGCCCCCCACACACATACACGAAACTAGTCACGAGCATCTGTACGCCCTCCGTGATGCACATAAAGTAGTTCTTTGGCACAAGCAACAAACACTTGCAGCACTGTCCACGATAACACTTGCGGGCGGCAATCTGTGCTTTGCTGACCAGCCTCCTTGTTCATCTGCTGTCTTCGTGGTTGCTTGGAGGCGTTTCGTCTCTCAGGGCCCAAATGCAGCTTCTGCACCTGCCAGCTGCAAAGCCATCAGCCCAAGCAGCCAAAGCAGCGCATGAAGTTGCCATCGACTAGTCACTAGTCGCCTCAGGAGCCTGACGTGGTCTCAAATACGACGGCAGCCGGCCGGGGCCATCTGGCCGACCCTTTAATGCCTTTGCTTCTGCATCCTCCTCAGTGGAACGTTCCATCACTTGATCCGCGCGTACTTGCTGAAAGACATCTACTGTAATTCTAAGAGACCAGCCACAGGAGCATTCCAGACATCTGGGTGGCCTAAAGCAGTCAGGCTTATGTTACGTTTGCCTGTAGCCAAGCGGCTTGGCTATAGGCAAACGTAACATAATTCTCTGCGGTAAATGTTCAAAGGCTCGAGGAACTCGTCTCTTTGCCTTTACAACATAGCATGACACCTGGCCTGCGTTGCTTCGAGTCTCTCGCTTCCCGTCCAGGCGCGCGGCCTCCCCAGCTCCTGCTGACAGCAAATCTCAACGTATTGCTAGCAACTAGCGTGAGGCAGGGTTCGTCGCAGGGTTCGTGCTTGTGTTGCCATTTTTGGTGGACCTTCAGTTCACGTAAAGTTGTCCCATGGTCGTTCAATGTCGTTACGTAGTTCTTGTTTCCAGGCGCTGGGTCGTGGCTGTTTTGCGGCGCTCTCGGAGCCTCAGTTGTGGCCATTCTCAGACTTGGTGGCTCGTTGGTCACTTTCTTGTGGCCAACGCAAGGGAAACCTCGTGCATTGGTCTATGGGCTAGCGGAATTGTAGTCACAGGGATTCTTTTGAACTGTTTTGTTTTAAGCAGGGGGGCAATCCCACTTTGCAGCTGATTGCCCAACGAAGAGGGCTGCAAGTGTGGCTGATATCCGGAAGGGACGCCTTCTGGACGTACCTGCTTGACCTGGTTTTTCAGGATTTGGGTTTCTTAGGCTGGCGTGTGGCACCGCTGTCGAGTCAGTACGCATATCCATAAGTGTGTGTGTGTGCTCTCGTGTGTCCTTGGTCCACTCCACATAACTCTGTAGCAAGGTCTGACAACTTGAAATAAAGGACAGTGCTGGAGGTTCTTAACACGTCATCCGCCTGCGTCAGCGTGCCTCCAAAGCCTTGAGGCGAGCACGACATTGCTAGCCAAGCAAAGACCTAGTTGTTCCCTATCACTATTGCAGGACCCACACATTCAGCGCATTCCAAAGCCAGTCTGATCTCAAGGCACTGGCGACAACAAGCAAGCCCTATCAGACCCAATGACGTCTTGATGGTTTCACGGGTTCGAGGCATCATGCGCTTTTGATTTTGCTTCTCCACGTCCTAAAAACCTGCTTCCAAACATCAAAAGGAGGGGCAAGAGTTAAAAGATGGGAGGACCAAGGGGGTGAATGCAAACATGCAGGATGTATGGCAAAGGGTGCAGCAAGTGGAATATATAACCACACCGGTCCGGACAGGAAAACGCAAACACTGGTAGCCTTGAAGCACCTGGAAGAAGCGCATGAGTGCTTTGGCGTCGCTATCAACAATGCCTTCACCTCATTCTGGCCTTCCAGGAAAAAATAATGCTCTGTTGAGTTGGTTGCAGCAGATCGCAGCTAGGGCCAGGGTCATCAAGAGTTGGCAGCAGGCGCGAATCCAGACATATCGCAACTGTTGTGTAAGTATGTGTAAGTTATGTGTCTTCATTGCCCCCTTTGCCAGACACGTTCTGTGAGTGACTTCCTGCATCTTACACTTCACATATCTCTGGCAAGGGTTCAATGGTGCACCAAACACAGCGATGAAAGGAAAATTTAGGATCTTAAACTTGAGCGATACTAAGACCACTATCGATCTGCAGTGAAACGTGCACTCATGCGACACCAATGCTGTACGTGTAAGTGACCAACATCTGACCATGCCTCGCGAGCGAAGCTTCGGGGGACGTTTGAGCGAGTCAGTGCCGGCAGCGTACCCGTAGCTAGCGCCACTCTCGGCACATCTTGCACAGATCAAGCCATCTATGCTCGCATGTTCTCCTCATCCACAACTGTGGAAATTCCTGTTTCGCGTTGCCACGTTCGTTTTCTCCTCAGCGACTGGTGTTGAAAAGATATCCGCAAGCATTCGATCTGCACTCTGTTCCTTTCGAAATGCAAGGTGTTGGGCCGAATGACTTTGAGCGTCAAAGCTTAATTTAGGTCTTACATGGTCTTACTATATGTAACAATGTAACGTTTGCTTCCCACACTGATGCCTGCATACGCATCCACAGCCACTTCCCTGCGGGATAAAGACCCTTTGTTGAAGCAACTTTGGCAACAAAACGGGGACTAACGGACTAAGCCAAAATGCTCAGATTCGTGCTCTTTGGCAACATACACTGGAGCCTCCTGAAACAATATCGCGCGGTCGCTTAAACACCTTTTGACAAGATTGCCATGTAGCTTAGTTTGGGATCGGGGTGACTGCTTGCCGCGAGGTCCATAGCGAACATATCGTGCCAATCGCTTTGACATACTTGTTGCCTTGAGGTTGCACTTTGCAGTCGTTGGGCGAGTGAGCGGGTTGCTGTCTGTAGGTCAGTTCAGTCAGAACCAAGTAAGCAGCCCACATTGCCATCAAACGGCACACGCTTGCATCTTCTGCGCTTTAACTTTCTCGCGCAACGGTTCTTCTTGAGTGGGCTTGGCCAACGGTGTCTTGACGTTCCCTTAAGCTCTTAAGGCTCCATATTCTTCGGATGCCGGCCCAGGTTTGAACGAAAGCCGGAGAACAAAAACGCTGCAAAGACGGCTGCAGTGACACGTAGTACATGCTGTACATGCAAGTGGCCCAACATGTGGTCAACTGGAAAAACTAATCAAACTGCCAACGGTAAATGGAATGCATGTCACAAACAGGCATCAAATGAAGCAGGTCAAGAGTGGTAGGGCTATGGGACTACTCCTTCAATGCAGGGTAGCCGGTCACTTCTGTCACTCGGCAACTGGTAGCCATCAGACTTCCCATGGCTTGCCACCTCGGCTTCAAGCAGCCTCAGCCAAGAGGGTCTTTGAAACTGCCACACGTGTTCAAGAGACTTAGGGGTGCAGGACACTTTTGCACAAATGTACTTCAGACCATCAGAAGTCGCGCCTGCAATGCCCAATGCACTCAACCGAGACAGAAACCAATGAAGCCGAAGCCATTGAAATGGTCCAAATGCCATTGAACCGTATATCATTGTGTAGCTAGCTGGTAGCTGTCAGTTGTGAAGGCTTGCAGTTGGCAGCGACGCGTCGCTCAGAGAAGTTTTGAAACTTGTGTTCGACGATCGCTCATAAGATGGTGACATCAGAAGCTTGGGACTAATTAATTTGGATATAGGAGCACATAAACTGAAAACAGAACCTACTAGAACCCGTTGATTTTCTGATCTGTAGATAGCATTGTCCCGGAAACTCTGAGGCCCCATACTGTATCAGCCCCCTATATCAAGCCGAGGAGCTGCAGTGTACTTAAGGGCACTGTCCTTTGGATTGGCACCGCGCATCAATTTGGTTGCCGAATGGTTGTACTGGTCAACATCCCTGGACTGAGGGGAGCTGGCTTGTTTTGAATCGTCATTTTCATCTTGGCTGCTTGAATAAGGGCTCCAAGCATATGGTGGGCCTGAAGCCCTTAATTCCACGCTCTCGTCCTCCAAGTCCAGGAAGCTCCCAGTGAGAGCTGCCCTCAAAACCGCAGAGGCCGAGAGTATGTCATCGTCTTCTTCCCGTCTTGGCGATGGAAGCGACAGCTCGCTTAGTGAGCTAATTGGTCGACGAAGGTCTTGGATCTCACTTTCACTTTGACAGATCTCAGTGGACCTTGGTTTTGGCCTTGACTTGCTGAGCGGCTTGCTTGGTCTAGATCTCGCCCGTTTTGCCCATCTGTCCTTGCGACGTCGCTCACGCTCATCCCTTGAGTGCTTAGTTGCTGGTTGCAAGTGTTGTAAGGCAGGCAAAAGGCATGGGCCAGCGTGCCCTTGTCCCGCATGCCGTCCCAAACAATTGAGGCTGCTGTTTAAACCAACCCACTTGCTCTCAGCAGGCAACTCAAAACTCTGCTGCAAGCACAGGGCATCAGAACCACAAGAGCCTGCGCACCGATGTGGGCGGACATTCTGGCTCATTGGCAGAAAACCACGGGGTTCATGCTCTTTTCCTACCCCTCCATTTCAGGGGAGGGCTACGACGTCTTGAGCATGACAAACAACAACAGGCATATGATGTGCATATTGAAATCGCACCTAGTGAGCCCACATGAAACCGCCGACACGCTGGATTCGAGGACGAGAGAACGACATTTTTTCCAGCCAGCTCAGCTGCAAGCTTTGTTTCCACCTCAGTCGGAGGCCGGTCTGAAGCGGTCAAATGGGTTTCCCCAATTAGTTGCTTTGCACCGTGAAAAGGTGTCTGCTCACTAGGTTCCTTTCCTCCATTCCCAGCTCAAATGCCAGCTGCAGACTGGCTTCCTGTCCGGCCAGTCCTCAGATCAGAGTTGCTGGTGCGCACATGGATTTGACCGTTTCCCAGTCCTTGTTGTTCGCAGTATGTCCTGAGAGGTCAGCATGTACGGTGGCAAGCGTCAAGCGTTCAAAGTAGGTCTATCTGTCTGAGACTGAGATGACTGCAGCAAGGGACCACAACTCGAGAAGCACGTTTGTAGCCTCCTGCCGTTCCAAAGAGGTTATCAAATCGGAACACGTGCCCTATTGAAAATGTCTTAGGTTGCTGTAATTGTCTGCAGTACCCTTCTTCGACTTCAGCTGTTCCTGACACTGAGCTGCTCAAGCAGTTGCAAAGCAACTGGCCATTGCCCCTCTTCAGCAAGGACAAGCCTGAACCAACTGACTGTCTCCAGCTCATCATGAAGGGCAGCGGCAAGGTTTTGAGAAGGTGGCAAAGCTGCTGCAACACCTGGCCGACATTCCTGGGTGCCATGTTGCACCATGCCAGTTCCAAACAGCCCAGCGACATGCAAAACAAGAATTTGCTGAGTAGGCAGCCTCTGAGTCCAAGCCTTGCACTGCGCAGCATGCAAGCAATCCAGGGACATCCACGAAACTTTGAGCGTTAAAGCTTGGATGGTATTTCAATATGCCGCGATACGGGTTGAATAGTTGTGTTGACCATATTGGTAGGTCACGAATGATCCGCGTCCTGTCAGTGGAAGGGATGTGAGGAGTTCCACTGGATGCCGCCAAGTCCTGATATCCAGCAACACCAACCACAACCGCTACTCAGCTCCTCGCATGGCCTCCCGCTGCCGAACATGCTCACTGCCTTGCACCCAGACGTTCAAAGGAAGGCTACTTCTGAAACATTCTGCAACTACTGAGTCGCACTTACACCATGTGATACCATATGTCTTGCTTCCCAGGCGCTGCATTCAAGAGAGGCCATGTTTGACACCAGACATGTCGTGAATGAAGCGATTTTGCTGACCTCAGCTGGAGCAAGTTGCAGGGCGTTGCAGCCTTCCCGAGCCTTGCTGTCTAAGTGATTAAGTGTTTGCGCATTGCTGCGCGCAGGCTGACAAGCGTCAAGATCTGTAGGCCAAATTCCCATTGTGCCTCTGATTCAGAATTCACCAGGTTCAAGACCCCCAAAAAAGAGGTGGCAAACCCCAAAACTTTGATCTCACACATTGGGCAGGTTGGTTTCGACCAGGTCAAAAGAGCTTCTGATCATGCAAGTCAACCCGTGCAAGCAACAAAAACCAAGCTAGCCATGCATGAGAAACGTCAGGAGCACCACAAACTGCCCACAGGATAACATCTCAGCCTGCCTCTTCACATGCTGAAATTGCAGAGGTGCCAGTGAAACTATCAGCCTCGGTCAAAGTTGCCCAGGAGGTGGGAAGCAACCCATTCCTGCTTTCCAGTATTCAATTCCCAACTTCCAGGATCACTTGACTTGCCTAGCCTCCAGCTTCAGCAATGCTAAAGATTGCAGAGTTTCGATGGCTAGTGTCCACTTCCGACCTGACAGCCAACGGAAGGGCTAGGAATTTGTACCAGTTGCTGGCCTCTTGCATGCGCAGTAATGGCTGCGTTAGTTGCCTCAGTTTCTGCCCCTCTAATTGCAACATCAATGTGAGTACAATTCAATTTGGAGCCACACCACCAGCACCCGCGCTGGAGCCAAATACATGCACCCTGGAAATCAATTGGTTGTTGACTTCTGGCATTTATCTTGCACTACCCAGTCGCTGGGCCTAATGCGAGCCGCCACTGCCTGCCATCAGACAGAGCTGACGCAGCCTGGTCGACATAAGTTTCATAAGAACTCGACAATCCGAAAGCTCAGCTGTCGCACCGCCGCGTGTGAAGCCACAGTTTCGAGCCCAAAGGCCTGCCAGGCTAGGTGCTAAAGCGAAACAAATCGGGAAGAAAAGAAGAACACTGATAAATCCGCCCGCACCGAAGGTGCCGAGGCGTTTTTATAGGGCACGCGCTATACGTAAGCTAGCATATGCAAGCCAATAGCTTTAGCTAGGGGAGGGGGCATTTTCGCTCTAGAATCCTGTGCTTTCTCACGTTTTTGGAACCGGCTTAAAATGCTGGAAGATGAATTCGTGCTATTTTGAAGCCCCTGGTGATGCAAGAAATGCCATTTTCTTCCTTTGCATGATTTGAATCATCTGCGCGGTAAAGTGTAATTGGACTGAGGCCGGACATTTAGCTGAACAGGCTCCCGTAACGTGGCTCAATATAGCTTCCATATTGCCTAACATAGCCCTAGAAGTCACTATTTAACGGACGTGTCTGCGAGATAGGGACTTGAACGCAAAACATGGCCCAACGAGGGCTCCAAAGGGACTGGAATAAAGTAAAGAGATTGCCTAACATAGCCCTAGAAGTCACTATCTAAAGGACGTGTCTGCGAGATAGGGACTTGAACGTCGTAAACATAACCCAACGAGGGCTCAAAAGGGACTGGA